CGGGCAGCAGCGGCGGCGCAGGAACTCCAACAGCTCCAACAGCCAGGGGCCGTACGGCAGCGAGGAGCGGGTGGGCTACTACTGGGCCTACAACACCATGCTGACTAAGGCCTGGAGGACGGGGGTGCTGGGGGACGAGAGGCTGGCCGACCGGCTGCTGCGAGACTTCACCGACTTCTGCGCCAACAAAGACAATCGGCTGCTGCAGCTGTGGGAGCTGCCAGGAGAGATGAACGCCAGCGCGCCCTGAACGCCAGCGAGCGCGCCCTGAACGCCAGCGAGCGCGCCCTGAACGCAGCAGAGCAGCTCAGCAGAGACTCTTTAATTTATGCAGCAACATGATGGACTGTGCTGACAGACCGCTGCCTCCATAGGCGGGAGAAAACTTCAGATCTTTTACTAAAGTAAAGTACTAATATCACGGTGTAGAAATGATCTTCTACAATTCCTGGATTTTTGTTTTTTACTTAAAAGAAGTACCAAAGCATCGATATGTTTGAAGTACCAAAAGCATCGATATGTTTGAAGTACCAAAAGCATCGATATGTTTGAAGTACCAAAAGCATCGATATGTTTGAAGTACCAAAAGCATCGATATGTTTGAAGTACCAAAGCATCGATATGTTTGAAGTACCAAAAGCATCGATATGTTTGAAGTACCAAAAGCATCGATATGTTTGAAGTACCAAAAGCATCGATATGTTTGAAGTACCAAAAGCATCGATATGTTTGAAGTACCAAAAGCATCGATATGTTTGAAGTCACCAAAAGCATCGATATGTTTGAAGTTACCAAAAGCATCGATATGTTTGAAGCACCAAAGCATCGATATGTTTGAAGTACCAAAAGCATCGATATGTTTGAAGTACCAAAGCATCGATATGTTTTGAAGTACCAAAAGCATCGATATGTTTGAAGTACACCAAAGCATCGATATGTTGAAGTACCAAAAGCATCGATATTGTTTGAAAAGCAAGTACAAACGCATCGATATGTTTGAAGTACCAAAAGCCATCGATATGTTTGAAGTACCAAAAGCATCGATATGTTTGAAGTACCAAAGCATCGATATGTTTGAAGCACCAAACCAAAAGGTGCTCATTTAGCAGTAAATCCATGTATTGAACACTGGACTGGATCTTTAGTGATCAATGAATGTGTTCACCCTTTTCATTTTGCGGCTGTAAAGGTAGGAGCTAACTTTATTGACTTGTTATGTTGCTAAGCAGATCATCATTTATTAGTTGATTTATATTTAGTATGAATAATAGGGACGAGCAAACTAACTAATGTTGTCAAATAAATGTACAATATTGTAAAGTTGAAGCACGTCAAAATGATTCTTAAGTATAGTTCTTGAATATATGTACTTAGTTACTTCCCATTACTGCCTGCTCCAATAAGAGTCCACCTCTGATCTGAGGTTCAGTATTAAAGGCTTGAATCTGTGGAAGTCTAAAGTATAATGTTGATGCCTTAAGAGCAGAGGGTCTGCTCAAATTATGTGTTTTGTTTATTTACAAAAATAAATAAGACAATGTTTAATAAAAAGCTGCTTCCTGTTATTTCCCACCAGCAGTCACAATCAGTGTTAGACGAAGACATCACAGATCTGAGAAGTGCATGTACTCCAGATAGGAATGATTGTCTTTGCTTGGTTGAATCATGTTCAGGTGTATATCAGTATTTAGTGTTAGGGGGGGGGGGGGGGGGAGAAAGTCCCTCTGGACGGGGACGAAGGGATTTTGAGCCTTTGCAGACCATTAACATGCACTAAAACCTATAACCACACTACAGGAGAGGGACCCACCCCCACCCCCCCCCCCCCCCCCCCCCCCCCCCCTATAAGGCAGAGAATGACATGAAGGCAAACACACACATTTCCAGTTGCACAGCATACAAATGTTTAATCCGTGTCTCTTTCTAAAACAACAGCAGCACAGAAGTCTCCTGTTCTGAACATCACCAGTGTAAATCCCTTAGTGGCATTCACCTAGTAAATATCACTTGATCCCTTTCACATTCATTCAAATGTAATACAATTCTGATTTTCAAGTTCATCTGTGATTATAAAAATATCCCTTATATATGTTCCTTTAGGTTTGCGATTATAAAAGGTAAAACAATGCAAAGGAATTATTACAATAGAAATATGATCTTATCATGATGAGTTGTTCCATGATGATTCCAACTCAAACAGTAAACATATTGACAGTGTCGTGTATGTAAAGTGATTCTGAGTGAGACTTCTCTGATGCTCAGGAAGCTTCCTGTTTAGAGTCGTCTGTACCTGCTGACAGTCTGTTTTCAATGTAGTGCTCTATCAATGTGTCCTTCTCTAGTGTACTGAAGCCTTAGCACGTAGAGTCTTGGAATGAAGTTTAGAATGTAGTCACATCAAAAGAAACTCGCTAGCGTTGCAAAGAACTGTGTTCAAATGATCCCTGCTTGTTGTGCAGTGTCTGTGAACGCACCACACTGGATCTGGTTCCCTTTAGCGTCCTCTTCTTTAGCTCTGATGACCTTTTAGTGAAGCAGCGGTTCCCTTTATTAAAGCATCCCCAGCATGCCAGGCTTTCCTCTCGGGCTCCGTGTTGTCCAATGCAATGAACAATACTTGAACTAAAAACCAGACCCTGTTTTCTCATCATGTTTAAAGCATGTTCCTGCTCACAGCTCTGTAGTGAAGCAAGTCCATGTGCTCACAACCCCACAGTTCAAAAGTAATACAACTGTTATGTGTTAGTTTGCTTCTGTGAAAATAAAGTAAGCTTTATAGTTGATACGGTTAAATGTGAGGAAACGCTGCTTCCTGCTGATCTGGGACTTCTATTACTTTGACTGTGTTGTGTACTGATTATATATAAACCTTTGATTTCACTTAGATTAGAAGATCATGTTTATAAATGTGGGTTGAGTGAGAAATTGAAAAAAAGTCTCCCTTCTTCTCAGTTCCTTTGGTTTCCCTGCTCTCCTCTGACTTCATCAGAAAGGGCTGAATGTTCCTGCAAACTACAGAAGAGTCTTTCAAGTGAAGCTCCTCCTGCTGACTGCAGTGGTCCTGTTGTTTCGCAGGGTGAACGTTGTCCGTAAAAGAGGTGGGGGGGGCTGCTAGTTTACAATGGCTGCATCCTCTGGCAGACCACCTACACACACACAGAGGGAAGGAGTAGTTAGGGCACAGCCTTATTTCACTCTCTATCAGTGAGGTGGAGAGACTCACGGGGTCGGATCCTGATTGGCCAGATGAGGATGGAGCAGAGCGCCAGAGCGGCGACGACGGCCACGCCCCCCCGTCACTATCACCATGACGTTATGATAGAACCACACACAGTCCGGGCAGCATACCACCGTACTGAGAGAGAGAGCGAGAGAGAGAGAGAGCGAGAGATCAGCAGAGCAGCTGTTAAAAGATTTCAAATACCATCATATTATTTAATTTTTTTAATTATTTGTTTGCATAACTGTTTGAATTCATCATATGCATGGTAGTGTTGTATAGTTGATCTAGAGTGTTACATTTAGACCTAAGACTTATTACACTCACTTTGTAAATGGCATTACTGCAGTGAGGTATTTAATATTGCACTTCCATACATTTGGGGGATTGAGTTACAGCAGAAAGTTGAATACAGCGTATTTCTGGTTTATTCATTTTATTATGTCACCTGATAAGAAGTGTTAATGTCTGATGTTGCTGATGACATCATTGTGACATCACCAGTGTGATTTCAATCAGTTTAATCCACTGTGTGTGTGTGTGTGTGTGTGTGTGTGTGTGTGTGTGTGTGTGTGTGTGTGTGTGTGTGTGTGTGTGTGTGTGTGTGTGTGTGTGTGTGTGTGTGTGTGTGTGTGTGTGTGTGTGTGTGTGTGTGCTTACTGGCAGGGATGCAGAACCTGAATGATCATCACAGCGATTCCATTGGCCACCTTATCAGTGAAGCTCATGGCTCCGTACACAAACGCTCCACTTTGCTGCGGGTAGAAGAAGATAGTGGATCATGTAGAACAGGGGTGTCAAACTCAAGGCCCGGGGGCCAAATCCGGCCCGCGACTTCATTTCATGTGGCCCCACAAGAGCTTGCAAAGAATATAATATGTTTGTAATACTGTTACATGGCGATTTACAGAAGCACGTTGCCCATAAACTACATGTCCCACAATGCATCTGAAATATGACTTCTGCTTTCAGAAGTAGTTAATTATGAAGTTATTACCCTATCCGATAATAATCCAATGCAAAGGCAATAATGTAATATATACATTAGTTTATATATATATATTAAATATTTATGTATTTTTATGTAGTCTTAAAGTTACAACCGGCCCTTTGAGTGCAACCATAATGCGAATGTGGCCCGTGATGAAATTGAGTTTGACACCCCTGATGTAGAAGGTCTCTCACTCTCTCACTCCACACATACATACAGACATACATACATACATACATACCCACACACACACACACACACACACACAAAGTACCGTCTGCCCTCCAATGAGCTCCGCTGTCATGGACAGTGATATGACCAGGATGGTGGCGGACCCCGCCCCCAGCAGCACCGCGGCCCCGTACACCTGCTGACCCATCTGGCCCTCCAGCAGCACCCAGTAGGAGAAGGCCATGATCAGCAGCAGGCCTAGGAAGTAGGTGAGCTGGACCAATCAGGAGAGAGACACACCGTGTGACAGGTGAGATGGATCAGCGGTTTGTTTACGTATCCCTCAGTGATAGTGTGGATCTGATGAGGAAGCACTCTGAGAACCTGTCAGTCAACTCTTTGTCTGGCTCTGTTTATCTAAAGCTCTGAACGCAGCGCATTATCTGTACAGATATTTAGTGAGTGTTGTTCACTATTCAATACTGAAGGAAGTAAATGGAGTGGACAACATATTTCTTTATAGTCCTGATTGTTGCAGTAATTCAGAAATTCTAGATTAAAGGTGAAAGTATATAATCAGAATACATTTTCGTTTTGTTTCATGGGAAAAAACATGTCTGTGAAAAAAGTAAATGATGTTAAAAGAAAGTGTGTAGCCAGTCTTACTTACAGATTTTCCAATGAGTTTACTGACAGGCTTCATGATGAAGGAGGACAGGAAGCCACTCAGGAACATCACTAACGGGATGGTGGCGATGAACTTCTGTTGGTGGGAGGAACAAAAAGAGATGAGAAACAGTGAGCGGCTGCTCCACGTTAGCATTAACATCACAATGAACTGGAATATATTGATATATATTTATAAAAAGGATGATTGGGGTGACTTTGTGTTTACCTTGGGCAGCCCCAGAGTGTTGATGAGATACATGGAGATGTATGTCTGAGACAGATTGACTATTAACCTGGTAGACATGTAGAGTAAGGCCACCTGCAGAGAGACAGGGACAGCTGTCACACAGCCTGGGACTAAACAAAGCAACACGCTGCTGAAATAAAACACTGCTAGTTATTGTTTGCTATCCTGGCCCCATCATGGTGGAACCAGCTCCCCATGGATATCAACGGAGGGTCTACACATCCTGCAGACTGGAAACCTGCTCTCCAATGTGTTGGAACTGAATCTTTGATTCCAAATAATGATCTCTTCTGTATTTGGCTGGAAGTAAAGCAGTAGCACTTCATCTGGTTGGGTTTACAGATGGAAATGTACCTGCAGGGTTCTTGCTTTAGAGTTTGTGTCTTCATAGCTATAATGATCTAAAAACATCTTTCTGTCAGTCCAAACACAGAACAGCTGCTCCAGGTCCAGATGTTCCCACCTGGTAAAAAGAAGGCTGCTGCAGCCAACACTTCCACTGCAGCAGGGACGAGGGGGGAGCAGGGAGCAGGGGTCTGCGCTCCCCCTCCTCCTCCTCTTCCTCCTCCTCTACCCTCCCCTCCTCTCCTCCCGCCTTGCCTGCTGCTCCAGAGCTCTTCTCTTTGATTCCCAGGTGGAAGAAGAGGGAGAAGAGCGCCCCGATGCCCAGCACTATCAGCGCCAGGTTCTGAAATCACACAGGACAGGAAGGTTTGTGATGACATCTGTCTGTTTCACTTCCTCTGTGGGAGAGGGATTCAAAACATACTACCACTCTATTGCACAGAACAGTGGGAGGACAATGACTGGCAGAGGGTGAATATAGCACCAGAGTTATAGCGGGGCTTTGGTTTCCAAAACCGTCTCATATTGTTTCTCATAATGGTGAGAGGAAGTGGAGATCCAACCAGAGGCCTGCACCACGAAGCCAGTTCAACAGACCCTGGATATGTTTGAGTTATCTTAACTAACCCAAAACAAACGCGCTCTCGCTAAGCGGTCCTACGATGCTGGTTATCAACTCGGTAACTCAAGCCAGGGTTTCTCTGTCCGGCTGAGTGCGCGTTCACATGAAAGGGGCGGAGTTAGCAACATTTGACCAATTACAAACATGGAGAAGCGTACTGACAGCGCAGCGTCATACTTCCTGAATGAAAAGTCAACTTTAATATTAGACATATGAAGAAGTTAAACTTTAAACATCCATGACTTAAACACTTTATCCAGGATAAAAGCCACATACAGTAGCTGCACCTGCAAGGTGAATACAGCTGGTAACAGAAACAGTGTTTGAATGCGTACATTAACAGGTTTATGATATCACGGCCCCGTCTAAGACACAAGTGGATCTGACTTTAATTACATTTGACTCGAGTGTTTCGTCAACTTAATGTGTTGTACAATATTGGCTTCTATAATCAAGTTAAGTTGAAGTACCTCAAAATTATACTTGTAAGTATAGTTCTTGAATAAATGTACTTGGTTACTTTCCAATACTGGCTGCTGCTCCAGCAACAATCTACTGATCCCAGCTCTGCAGCGAGGGAAACTGGGCCTTTTGTGTGTGTCATGGTATTTTAATGACTAGTGGGGATTTTCAGAACCCCCACCACACTCTGTAACTGTAAAGTCAGTATAATTAGAAGTGGTCCTCACCCTGAAGACGGGAATATCTACGGGTCCCAGAGCGTCTTCATCCTCCCCCGCCTGCACGTGGAACAGCAGGTACGCCACTGCATACACTGTGATGTTGGCTATCACTGTGAATGCATACCTACACACACACACACACACACACACACACACACACACACACACACACACACACACACACACACACACACACACACACACCATGTATACATCACTTCAGGGGACTTTACATTGACTTACATGCATTTCCTGGAGACTTATCCTAACCATAACCATAACCAACACATGCCTAACCCTAACCCTTAACCTTACCCTAACCCTAAACCTAACCAAGTCTTCACCCTAAAATGAATGATTCCCCTCATGGGGACCTCCAATTTGTCCCCATAAGGGAGGCGAGTCCCCACACGTGACTGTGTAGACAGATTTAGGTCATAGGTCCCCACAAGTATAGTAATGCTAGCACACACACACACACCTGATCTCAAGTGGGCCCAAACAGTAAAATCATAGCATAATAACCTATAAATAACAACAACTCCTTCCCTTTGTTTTAGTGCAAAAAGTATATGGTATTAAATACATGTAGTGGAGTAAAAGTACACAATTGACCTCTGAATTGTAGTGGGGTAGAAGAAATAAGTAGCAACAAATTGAAATAATAAATTGTACTTCAGTAAATGTATTTACACCTCTGTATGTATGTGTGTGTGTGTGTGTGTGTGTGTGTGTCCACCTGTATGCCGTGAGCTCCACTTTAGCGTGCTCACAGCTGACCAGCTCTGGGATGAGTGACAGGTGAGAGATCTGGGTAGCGGCCCAGCCAAACTGAAAGACGATGATGAAGGGGAGGAAGAAGGTCAGACTGGCCCACTGGGGGGTCTGGGGGCCACAGCCCAGACACTGGTTGAAGATGAAGGCAAAGGACACCAACACACTCAGAGTACCTGACACACACACACACACACACACACACACACAGGGCACAAAACAAGGACTTCACTAAAGAGTTCGGAAACATTGTGGGAAACGTAGAAATACTAGTGTAAAACAACTCTGTTACAAGTAAAACTCCGGCATACTAAATCTTACTTAAGTAACAGCATTCAAATAAAGTACCAAAAGAATAAATTGTGCATAACGACCCATTTCAGAATCATATGAAATGGATTATTATTGATACATTCATGTGTTCATCACAGCTGGAGCTCATTTTAATAACTTAATATAATATATGTTGGATATCTTAACCTATTATTATATATCTATATATTTTATGTATTTGTTAATGTATATTTCATATTAGCTTATAGTCTGAATCTGTAGAGTTACTGCTTTTGTTGAATACATGTATTTGAGTACAAAGTGCTTCGAGAATGTAGTGGAGTAAAAAGTATGTAACATGGAAATACTCAAGTAAAGCACAAGTACCTCAAAATCAGTACTTGAGTAAATGTACTTTAATACATTACACCACTGGTCAAAATGTCCATTTCTTATTCACTCCAGTGAACCAGCAGCAGATGACCTCATCACATGCACACATGAGAGTGATTCATGAAGTCTCCAGAGCAAAAGTCACAAGTTTGTATGTTTTCCATATGATGCATGTGTGTGTCACCAGGACTCCTGTCAGGTCTCTCCCCTGTAGGACAGATCCCCATGCCCCTCCGCTGACAGCTGTCTTCAGAAGCATCATGTGACCTGAGCTGGATGACTAAAACATGTGCTCAGTGTGCAGTGTGAGAGCAGAGTCCACACAGGAGTTTTATTCAAAGGGACATGAATGTTCTTTATGGATGGGAGCACGTTCAAACAGGGCAGTGTTTCTTCTCCAGATGTACCTTTTACCACCCAGGGCTGGGCTTTACAACACTTTGTTCTACACTCACTGTGAACTACTACTTAAAAAGGCACACAAATATGGCGGAAGAGAATACGAAGAATAAGAAAATAAATGTTTTCTCCTGTTCTGGACTTAAATGTTTAGATCAGTGTGAGAGACAGTAAAAAGTATATTTACTGGAGGTACTACAAAATAAAAATAAAATGAATAAACATTAACATAGCTATAGGTTGGGATATTCTGCAGCAGTCATTTTATATAAATCCTTCTGAAATGCAAAATAAATACTTTTACTTTTGGCACTTTAGGTATATTCTGATGTTTTTTTCATTTGATTTAAGATTAAACATTTTAAATTCTAAACTTCTACTTGTAACAGTGCATCCGGAAAGTATTCATATCCCTTCACTTTTTCCACATTTTGTTATGTTACAGCCATATTTCAAAATTGATTAAATTCATTATTTTTCTCAACATTCTATACACAATACCCCATAATGACAAAGTGAAAAAAGTGTTCAAATAATTTTTGCAAATGAATTAAAAAATAAAACACTCAAATATCACATGCACCATGCTGTGAATGGATCTGGCCCTTCCTACATCCAGGACATGGTTAAACCGTACACCCCAGCGCGTGCACTCCGCTCTGCATCAGCCAAACAGCTCGCTGCACCCTCGCTGCAAGGGAGACCCAAGTTCTCATCAGCAAAAACACGTGGGTTTGCTATCCTGGCTCCAAAATGGTGGAATGAGCTCCCCATTGACATCAGGACAGCAGATAGCTTGCACATCTTCCGGCGCAGACTGAAAACTCACCTCTTTCGACTCCACTTCAAGCGATAGAATTACTAACAAAGCACTCATATACTAACCAAGCACAGTTTTTTGCATTTTTAAGATGGAGGATGTACCAAGAGAGTTGGTGCACATTTCTACTGAGCAGCAGACTCTGCAACGGGAGATGATACAGGAGCAGCGGAAACAGAATGCGCTTCTCCATGTGGAGGTCCAAAAATGCCTGACAGCAGCATAGCCGCGGGAAGTAGGGGTGCTGGGGGTGCTGCAGCACCCCCTGTTGGCGAGTGGTGTACATTTGAAAAACTGAGTGACCACCTAAATAAAAATGATTAAACTACATAAAATAGTTATGATTTTACTTAAAATAAAATTAGCTGTATACAGTAGCATATAATAGTCATAGTATATATTTGTATCAGTCAGGTGGCTTGAATTTATTTTCCAAATAAGTGAAATCCGAGTCATCTAGGTCGTAGGTCTTGGGAGAGTGACGTAATTGACGCGACACACACACTGCAGAGTGACAACTTTATAGAATGGCGCAAAAAAGGATTTTGGATTTTTTTCTCCAACAAACAACCCAATAAAAAGAGTGGACCACCAGCTACTCCTCAGCCCACCACCTCTACAACTAGAGTAATATGACACAGAAGAGACTGACACATCTGACTTTAATGCATGTCCATAGTAACATTTTGGACAATGTGGATGTATCTGCTCTAATGAGGGTCTTCATTAGTGCCACCCCAGGCTACATTTGGAGTTTTGTGAAGCCCCAACACAAGGTAAGACGATGTTTCCTTTAATGCTGCTGCCGCTGTGCAGTGTTTTGCCTTGTCAATCAGTTAAAATTGAATTCATAGTTTTATTAATATTGTAAATAATATTTTCTGACTATTTGTAATGTTATGTAGGTTTGTAAGACCCATAGTTAGCATGTGGGCATGTGCAGCTGTTGCTAAGGTCTATAATGGTTTATTAAAGTTAAGGCGAGACACCCCAGGTGAATAGGGTAATTTCTCCAGTTAATTACCTACAATAAGGCAATTGTTTCTTATATTACAAGTTTTCTGAATATGCAAATGAGCCATTATCTCATTACATTTGCGCATATTTTAACACATTTCAGGAACCGAAATATGAACTTTGGATAAAGCCAGGTTCAAAATGCTCGTTTCATTTTGTAGTCATATTAGCATCTAAGGCTTTTACTGAAGGGATTTTGGATATCTCTTTTTATCACTCCATAAATCAGAAAATACTGTCAACAGCCCTAAAATATCAATTTTCGCCATGTTTCTAGGTATAACATCTTATATAATTCAGGCTATGAATGATCTATGAACAAACCCTTCTGTAAAAGCCTTCATAATATTGATAGGAATATAACTGGAAGGTTTGGTGTATGTAAGTGCAACTGAAGTGGAAAGTTCGAACTCAGAGTAGGAGAAAAAACTCATTTTGAGAAAACGACCTTTAAAGATTGCAGTGAGGTGCTAGCTAAACCCTCCAGTTCTTTGGATGACAGCTTGCGCATCGACGCACTCCGTGAAGGTGTTTCATGTTCGGGGTCATTTGTTTTTTGTATAACCTTACTTCGTGCAAGTGACAATTGTTGTCGTCTTCTCTGTGAACGTTTTTTTCGCCGTTCTTTTGCCATTTTGAGAATTAAATTTCTAGCGGAAAGCTAACCAGGAAGTGTTTTAGCACACCATGTGACGCATCTGAACGAATCACGTTGTCAGAAGTTGACACCAGCCAATGAGATTTCGTTTCTTGGTTTAAGACCCTTTTGTACTTTCACGATTGGTTGCTGATACAAAGGAAATGACCATATTTGGATCCGATGAGATCATTGTGCAGGAGAGACTCAGCTTTCCAACGATGACATGGTGCAAACAGCGGTCGCGGTACTTTATGTTACGTTAGAATGCTAACTTTTGGTGAATTTAGGAGAAATCTACAGACGCAAATAGACAAACTATAGTAAAATGAACACTTAAATGTGTATTTTGTACGTTTTACTTCCAAAAGCCTGAAAGAAAACATGTTATGGAATCAAAATAGCACAACATCTCAAAATTGACCAGTGCATGAAAAATGATGTTTTTGCCTGCCGTGTCTCGCCTTTAACAAACAATGTATGCAGCTGGTATCGCTGACAGCTGGGCCCGGCCCGGCACCGCCTTTTTTTTTTTTTTTTAAGCGGCTCCCTCCTCACTTTTGGCAGCACCCCCTGAGCAAAATGACTTCCCGCGGCTATGGACAGCAGCCTCTTCTATCCAGAGGGGAGCAACCGTGCAGCCTAACCCAGGTCGATTTATCCCCAAAATGACAGAGTGATGAGATAGAGGCCTATTTAACAGCCTTTGAGCGCACAGCTGAAAGAGAGGGCTGGCCAAGGGACTCCTGGGCTGATCTGGTTGGACCGTTCCTCCTGGGCCCGGCACAGCAAGCTTACTTCGACCTCCCTCCTGACCAAGCAAAGGATTACGTCATCTTGAAGAGGGAAATCCTGGCAAGGTATGGCTACAGCTTAGCAACAAGAGCCCAGCGGTTCCATGACTGGAAATACAAGCCAGAGTTGCCTAGCCCGGGTAACCAGAGCCTGGCTGACATGCAACCCTGAAAAGTTAAGTGTTTTAGAGAGGATAATGATGGACAAATACATTCGGTCTCTGCCCTATGAGATCAAGAAAATGACAAGCCAGCAGAATCCAGCCAGTCTGGATGAGCTGGTTAACCTAGTGGAGAGCCACGTGGCCACAGCGGACCTGCTTATGTCCAGCGGACCTGCTTATGTCCACACAAACCGGGGCCGGAAAGTCAGTGGGGAAGCATCAAGGACTAGACGTGCACAAGAACCACCACGGGAACCAGAAGAGGTAAGGCGACGACAGTCCTACCTGCCAGAGGGCCAACCGCGTTGTTACTAGTGTGGGGAGACAGGCCACATTTCCTGGGACTGCCCAGGGAAGGATGAGCTAATGCCGACCGCCCACTCATCTGGTGCAAGGCCCTGCCACCTTCTTGACTCTTGCTGGGTACAGGAAAGCTCCCTGGCTCAAATGATACCAGTCCAAGTAAATGTAAAAGATGCAGAGGCGCTAGTGGACTCAGGAAGTGTGGTGTCCCTCATTCAACCCCACCTCCTCGACCATTTGCCATCCGAAGAGACTGTGCCCGTCTCCTGTGTCCATGGGGACACTAAATTATACCCCACATGCTTCATCCACCTTACCATGGTTAAAAGCAGCTGTAACCTGAACGTGGGGGTGGTTCCTTCCCTACCAGTCCCAG